AAGGACAATATATTGTTCATAGAATGGAAAACATTACATGCTTGCGGGACGAAAATACCCGAGGAAAGTAAAGGTCTCGGTGCATTTACAAAGTTCTTGATCTTGTAAGTAGAATGCATTTATTTACTCAAATTTACGGATTATTTAACTAAATTTCTTTTTGATTTGCCAGCATTTTTATTAGCGTGGCATTATATTTTATGATCGGAGCATGGTACAAACATCACGTGTACGGATCGCGAGGATGGGATTTAATTCCAAACAGGTTTGAGGTTTTTTTATACTTACACATTTAAAATATTAGCGTTTTAGTAGGCTAAATAAAAATATTTTTTTATTTGGGACTACAAAGGGATTTTTGGAGAGACGTTCCATATATTGCTAGGGTAAAGAAAAAAATTTTTTTTTGTCCTCTTGATAATTCATAAAGGATATAAACTTAAATAAAATTCGTTTGTTCGATTTATTAACAGGACTTGACTAAAAACCTTTTCAACACTATTAGAGGTGGCAGACATTCAGGTTACTCTAGTGTCTGAGCAAGGTAAAATTAAATGACGGACTTCATAGACTTTTTTTTTTTTTTTTTTTTTTTAAAAAAAAAAAAAGAGACAATTTGCATTCAGTTCACTATTCATCATAAAAGGATGTAATCTCACTTCATAGCTAGTCTTTTTATTATCATCACCTAATAATCCAATTTCAATTATACCATTATCATTCATTATAAGCAGAATTTGTACAAACATTTAGGCATTGAAAGTTAGACTTGCCTAATCTTTTTTATTAATACTGGTAATAAAAAAGGATTACGTAAATGATATTCATTTATGTTTTATTTTGCACTTCAAATATTATGGGTCGTGATATAAATACAAGTAAAGCACGCAAAATACAACATACGTCAAATATTGGAATAAAATGTAAGAAGGCTGAATATTTATTAATCGCTCTGTTTAATAATAATTTGAAGTCAATATGGGTTGAAGAAAAATATTGGCAATAACAAAAAACGGATTTGACTTACTCCAAATCGGCTTGGCATGAATACTGGGCCAGCGAGAGTCCATATATATAAAGCAAAACAAACCCAACTTGAAACGACCTTAACCCATACCGCAATAAAGGTTTGTCCTATAGTGACCAACTCATCGGTTTCAGTCGTGACGTTATTCCTTTAATTTAAAATGAGATATCATTAGGAATCAATTAAAAATAGAACAAGAAAAATATCAAGGTTCGGAAATACGCACCAATTGGTAAGAAGCATCGCAACGTACATGGATGCGATGGCGAATATGAGATGGAAGAATGTGTAATTATAGGCAACACCATTTTTTTCATCATCATCATCATTATCATCATCATCATCATCTAGTGCAGAATGAGGTAATGCGCTAAAAAAAACAGCCAATCATCAATTTTAGAGATTTAAGTACAGAATTGAAATGGCGTTAAGTCGTACCCGCTTTCAACAGCAGCCAACAGCGCATCGGAGCGCTTGTTGGAAGTGAGTCCGTTAAGCGAGTTAGTCGTCAAAGGTATCGCAGTGGCAGTGTTAACAGGATGATAATCCGACTTAGTTATTAATGCCTTGCCTTGAGAAGCAGCTCTCGATGTTGAGTATGCGATCGCCAAAAATGTGAACAATGCTCCTATGACAATCGTAGTTGTCCTTGTACCAGAACTTTTCTTCAACGGGTTGCATTCGTTTTCGATTCCAGACGGTTCATTTACTACCGCACTCAAAATAAGATAGGTACAGTAAATAATCACCATCGAAGCTTGAGACAGTCCTGAACGAGGATTTTCCTCTTGCACAAGTGGATGGACACACGCAACAGTTCCGATAGCGGCCAAGACCAGGTTGAACGTTATAAAGAATTGATTAAGATGACATCCGGTTCCTGCAAAAAATCCATACATAATTCCAGTGAGTGTTACCGCACCAATATACATAGCCATAGTGGATCCAACAAGAATATATTTCCATTTGTTGTTGTCCGACTCTTGCCATTTTTCAATGCAGGTTTCGCTCCAATTATGAGCAAAATCAACTAAGAGCACCAAGCCGATCAGAATAAATATTGTTGCTCCAATCAAGGCAATATAATTCCCCCAAAACATGAAAAATTGGTTCGGGATGAAAAAGGAAATAACAACGAGAAGTATCCATAACAAAATTTTGGGGCCCCACCACCTGCAAATTTTAAAGATCTTAAGTTGTGACAGAAGCTATGCAAATGAAGATTGTTGCTAAGTTCATAACCATTACCCGTTTTGTATTGCAGCCCTTTTACTACGGGTATCATGAACCCCAATAACCGATAGTGCCAATATGATGTGGAAAAATGAAAGAGCAAAGCATATACGGTGGACCTAATTATAGATTTCAATAAACAGAAAAATGTAGCCGA